TCCGTTTGTTAATTAACTTTCCGTAACTTCGTTCCGGCGAAACTTTAGCGACACAAGTCCTTACTTAATAAAACTGGTTTATTCTTTCTGAATATAACTTCACGATACACTTGATTTCAACATTCGCGCTAAAACAAACGCGTTAACTTCAACAATACTTTCTCACTGCAGATCAATTACTCACTACCTACACACATTGTCCCGTCACGTTGTGAGCGTCTTATTTATATACCAGAAAAACATATATCTAGTACATGCTAGGGCATTCACGAAGAAACAAGATACTTCTAGAAAAAAGGTGGCGTGACAATAGTCACGTGACCTCGCTGACGCAACAATATAAACTGTAAGAAATGAATAGAACGCAGACTGAGGTGTGTTTATATACTGAACATAATGTTAAGGTGTAATTTATGCTAATAATTTACTGCACTTATTACTTCAAATTTTAAAGAATTACTTCCTTTGCGTTATATTTTAATATCCTGCTTTAAAAAATTTCTTGTTTTTACTTTTGAACACTGCATGGCAGTATAGAAAACATCAAATGCGATAAAAACAAACAAACAAATAAGATACAATGGTATAGTAGTCCACACTGTGTTACGCTTCTTCATTAAGTAGCAGTCTGTATAATTTTACTGTCCTTTTACAAACCTGTTGGATTGAGAAGCTGAGTCCTGCTCTTTCTTACTTACAAAATATCGCACAATATTATTTTCTGTCGCATAATTTTACTGCATTTGTGTAAGGTTAGATTACGTTAGTTCAGGCTAGTTTTATAACATTATCCTAGATTATGTTATACTATGCTACGTTAGTTCATAGCTAGCGTGATCTCTAGAAACTCAACAACGGATGGTAGGCCAGGGTGCTTCCTAACATAGGCTACAAAAGTACAAAATAAATTATATTAAAAAATTGTAAAAACACTGTTTTTAAAGAGTTAGGCTACTTGCATTGATTCTTTTTGTTATTAACTTCTTTATTACTTTACCTAAATTCTAGTTACAAAGGTGAAAGTGAATCGGTGAGGTAGAGGCCTAATACATTCTTTTATTTGCTGTACCCTCTGCTGTGGACTGCAGTTTCGCTTATTCGACGAAATATCATAACATTACTCGCATACCTTAATTAATTTAGGTTACAATTTAGTGAAGTAAAAACTCCATAGATATTGTTGCGTCAGCGAGATCACGTGACTATTGTCACGCCACCTACTTTATAGAAGTATCTTGTACCTTCGTGAATTGTCGGGAGATTACTAGATATAGGGCAGCCTGGTATATATAAGAGGGTGACAACGTGACGGGACAAAAATGTGTGTGTAGGTTGTGAGTAATTGATCTGCAGTGAGAAAGTATTGTTGAAGTTAACGCTCGT